GTAGTAGTAGTAGTAGTAGCAGTCGTAGTCGAAGTGGTAGTGGCAGGGGTAGGGGTGGTGGTGGTAGCAGCAGCAGCAGCAGCAGCAGCAGCAGCAGCAGCAGCAGCAGCAGCAGCAGCAGCAGCAGCATGAGTAGGCGAGGGCGTAGGGGTAAGGATTTCAAGATGAATAAGAAAGCCAAGAGAATATAGTAGCATAAGTGTATGATATTCATTTTCAACACTGCAGTCGTCGTCATCATCATCATCATCACCACCATTGTGCTTGAGCGTTTGCGTCTCTTGTTGGAGCTGGGTCCATGCAGGATCCGGTGTGCGGTCCAGCGAGCAGCTCCGGTTGAAAATCTGAAATCTTCCGGTAGAGCGTGGCAACGGCGAGCTTCCAGCTGCTGTGGCTCCGCAGATTGCTGGAGTTATGGACGAAGAAGCCGGCATTTGTGTGTGGTTGCCAAACCGTTTAAGAGCAAGTTGACGGGCAACGGCCAGCGGTGGGCTAGGAGTACGAGTACTCTCAATCTGACATCTCGCAGACAGCTTTTCGAACTGATACGCAAACAGCCCTTCGCCGGATTCGCAATTGCAGCCGGTAGCCGGATCTCGTGTTGCGCGTTTTGATCTTCGACTGGGAGGTCCATCATGGGCGGGCAGATTTTCTGGTCGGACCCCGATGTTCCGTTCATCAGCATTAATGAGTTCGAGCCGGACGTCGATGCCAATTTCGGCAGAGCAATGAGAACTGGCGGCGGCAAGGATAACGGCTTCACCATTAGCGTAACCATACCTCCAGGCTGTCTGACGCTATGTTGGAAGGATTACAATTCATTTTCGCGGAGCTTTGGAACCACTGTGGGAGAAGAAAGGGCCATTTTCCAAATCGCTGTCCACTGCACTGAGAAAGGTACTGACGATTATGTGACGAGAAAATCAAACAATTGGCCAATGTTGTCAAGCCGAGACGTCGTACACATGCGCTGAAACCCAGGGATACCTTGACAGCTACATGGACTTTCACACGACTCAAATCAGGATGAAGGACGGCGAGCTACCGTACATCACTGGCCTCAGATTCCATCGCTTACCGAAAGCATGAACATGCTCATGAAAGCAGGAGGCTGCAAGGCCAACCTCACTGTGTTCGATGACGATGGATACTTGCATGCCTCTACCAACCGTAGATCCAGCAAGCCCACTGAAGGCGTGCACCTTATCTGCGAAACTGACCCTGGAGCATGCATTGCCGGCTCTTCAAGAGCTGCTTCCTGGCATCCGTGTACCTTCGGACATTGCGACTGAGGCAATGTCTGCAGAAGATAGGCGTCCCTGCACAAGCAAAAGTTTGCTGACCATACTACGCTCTCGGGACGATGCAGCCGCTACTCCGAATAAGGAAGTTCTTTGCCGTGGGCAACGAGTCGGAGAAAGTCGCTGACAATGATGAGCCAACTGACTACGTACATTGTGAGATAGATCTTGACGAGCTGTTTCAGGGGCCTCAACAAGACACAAAGGAGCTGAACAGAATTTCGGCAGCCGCACACGGCCTCATACCTTGGAAGTCATGAATGGTGGCAGGATCAGCGCAGCTGATCACCCAGCTTATTGAAGGCGCATGAGATCAAGGAAACTTTATCTGCTGCTGTTTGTTTTGGTTAAGCAAATGCTGCAAGTTGTTGCAGCATGCCTTAGCAGAGAAGCAGAAAGGATGTTGCAACCTGCCACCAACATAGCTGCACGGTCCTTCAGTGCCTCAACGCAGCTATAGTTAGCGATTTGGCAATATATGAGATTCTGCATGCGAGGTCCCTGCGAGACACCAACGTGGCCAAAATTGAGGACCCATTTCGGGGCATCATGCATGATCCATGAAGATCATTGCGCATGGTCAGTCAACGTTGCCACATCTGTCTGACAGGGGGATGACCTGAAGATCTTCATGGGCTTGCTAGCTGATCTATTCCCCGGGGTAGAGGCGGAAGTGCTTTGTGCCTTCACCGGATGAATTGATAATTTCACGGACTCGTGACTCTAGAGGTTCCCCGGGCGCGGGATCACAGCTTCGAGAAGCTCTGTGTGGAGGTGGGTCCTTGAAGCTTTGCTGAGTTCCTGCCGTCCACCAACTCTTGTCCGAAGTGATGGAATCTGATTTCGGCTTCACCAACGATCCCGATGGGCGACCCTTGATATCCCTTGATGAACGAAGCCGGATGTGCAGGTGATCTTTTCAGAGACGTGTCTCGGAGGTATCTGCTTCTGAAGATCTCCCAGCTTATCGAACTCTTGGAGATCCGGCACTCTGTCTTCTTGATGGGTGTCGCCCCGAGATCTTCTGCTTGTGGCTCTCAGTGATTCCCAGGTTTGGCGAACCTGGACTGAGGCAATCCGGGCAGTTTCAAGTCATTCCTCTGGAAGGTGTTGAAGAACGCAAAGACCAAACACGGTCCCAGACTCACTCGGAGAGAGTTGAGGGACGCCTTCTTTGGGCTCTGTCTGCAGGGGAGAAGACCACTGTCGTGGACTTCAGCCCGAAAGCCATCACAACGAACGAACTCTATGGAAGTGTCAACATGGCCCGTTCCTTAGGGAGTTGGGGCTGGAGAGGGAGAGAGGAGAGAGCAATGTGTTGATCTTCGCGCTTTTTTAGCCCCCGGCTTCTGAGTACACCCGCGAGTGGAAAGACGGCATTCTCTCCAAGACGATGCGCGACTTGGGGCGCCCTTGGCATGTCGCTGTCTCGCTGTCTCGAGCCATCTGGAATTCTTGCTTTCCTCCTGTCCAGAAGGAACTCAGCCCGGCTCCCCCGCACGGTGAAGACCCCAGAAGATCCCATCTGGCCCGCCAGGCTGATTCCAGACACCCACCCGAAGTGGATCATGCTGGACGGTGACCTGGATGCCAACTGGATCGAATCCATGAACAGTGCTGCGGCCTTGGCTAATGGCAAGCCGAGCATGATGCGAGTACTAGAACCGAAGGGGACGAGAGCCGTGCTAAGGTCATGGACGACAGCAGGCCTGAGCACTCAAACTCAACACGTGCCCATTGTCTCCCGTGGGGCTTTGGCTGCAGCTGCTAGGCTGCTGACTCTTCCATCCAACGAGCGAATTCCTCTGAAGGCAACGGGGCTCAGTCTATGTCACTCCGCCATCGGTTGGAAGCTGCTTGACATGCTGAGCTCTGTGCAGATGCACATGAAGATGATTTTCGAGATTCGCGACCTGAATTATGCAACCCCTGCTACGGCAACAAGAGCCGGTATCGCAAGAAGCCAAGCCTCCTGATGTGGGGTAGTTGGGGCATCGCAAACTTTTGTGATCTTGCGTGAGCAAGACTCACCTGAACTTTTCCTGCAAGAGCTGCTGAGGTGTGCATGTCAGACAAAGAGGGCGTCCAGTGGCAATGCTATGTGCAATCTTGGATCAAGAAGTGCACGTATCCAGAACCCTTCAAGGCACCATAGTCCTCACAGATGCAACGGCACGCAGCTTCACTATGCCTTCTTTTCAGGAACAGCTTGCACTGCTCTTCGACAAGTACTGCTCCCCAACGCTGACTTGGATACGGAAATCTACCAAGATCCAGGCAGCGAGCGGAACTCAAGCATCAAAGCCGTCCGCTCCTTGCAGAGTTCTTCCCTTGGCCAGGTTCCCTATGTGGAGGTGGCGCTGATCTCCTCGCTGTGCAGCCTCCTAGATGCCCGTCTACCATCCCACAACTTGGAGGCAGGGAAGTCGGAAGTCGAGAGATGTGGCACTCGACCCGGAATTCCGTGTACCCTCCAGGCCGTAGAAGCCTGGTTCGTCTTCTGCATCATCTTTGCCACCGGAAGTAGCCTCGCCGAAGCAAGGGCCTTGAGAGCTCTCGCGGTTCCGGAAGGTCCGAGCACCAATGTGACTCAGGTGGATGGAGTTGACTACCGAAAAGCCTTCAGCAACTGGTGGAAGAACGAAATGAAGACCATCAAGTGGCTTGACTGACTTCTGTCTCTATGGGAGCCGCTGACGAGAACAGGTTTAGGTAAATCTGTGAGCCTGAGGTACCCGACGAAGGGGTTGGTGTTTGACCTATATGTCCGTGATTCGAGGCGTCTTGCTTCAGTCACTCACCTGCTGCAGTATCTCTCCTGGCCCATCCTTGCAGGTTAGAGGAATGGAGTACCCTCGTCGAGCCTCTCCAGTGCCCCAGTCAAGACAGTCCAGACATGTCCCAGCAAGTCTGCGCCACTCGCGTGCGCTGCTTACGCTTCTCGGATGCGCATGCAGCAAGACATGTCATGCATCCGTGTCACTTGTTTCAATCACCAATCTTGACTCGTTGCTCTGGTCCCGCTTGTTAGAAGGTTAGAAGATACGTAGCAGATGTTCAGGCTTTTTGATGCGGTGGTGACGGCTTGACCTGGTCTATCTCGTTGCAGGTGTGTGCAGGCAGCTGGGAGAGGCAGCTGCATCCAGCTGCATATGGACTTTCGTAGGGCTCAGGACACCACCGAGAAAGCCTGTAGACCCGGACCTGGCGGCACGAGTGCGGTCCGGGTTTACTGGCTTGTTTCATGGCGTCCGTTGTACCAAGTCCAGTCCGTAAAGGTCTTCAAGCTGCTTCAGTGGTTGACTGAGTTCATTGTTCCCTTGTCCTTCGTCTTCCCGCTGCCAAAGATAGGGCGACTCTTGGCATCCCCGTGGTATCCTGTGGTCCTTGTGTTCGGGTGGTTCGGGATCGCGTAGGCGTCTGCCTGCAACCAATGGACACAGATCGTCGACTTAGCTCGAGCTCACCATCGATAAGATCTTGTCGAAAGTGTGGGTAACATCGCGGCTTGCAACCTGCGAACCAATCGACGACTTCGGCTCCTACCAAATCCGTTCCCTGGCCCAACCTTGCGGCTGTCCACCGAGCATGCGGTACCTGCTTTGCCATTATACAGCCGTCTGTACGCAAAGTTATGAGCTTCTGCAGTACATCAAGCTCGACACTTAATCCGTTGTCTGGGCATGCTTGAGCCTGTGCCGTGGAACTTCTGAAATCAGCCCCAATCTTGTGAAGCCTCGTGCCCCTTTGAACAGCGCAGCAGTCCTGCCAATCAGTGTCCAGTTGGCTGTTGTCGCAGAGTAGAGGAGTCGATTCGTTGTCAAATTGCAGCCGAGTCTCTGGCAGCCTGGCGTTTGTCCAGGTACAGAAGCACAACTCCAATGGGAGAGATCACCGTGCACGCTGCTCAGGAAGTGGCAAGATGCAGCGGTGCGCATGAGGAACTGATTTGACTGTCCGTGGCACCTGCTCTAGGCCGACTACAGAAACTGTCTGCCTTGACTACTTCATGAAGGCATTGATCGAGGCCAGACAAATGCAGAGTTACGCAGCACGAAGGCCGGAGGAAGGCAGGGACAAGCCCGGCAGGTCAGTCATCCTGTGATGCTCATCGGCCTGGCTGGTTGCGGCGATCTGCTCAGTCTTGCTCCTGCTGGCGGCCACTTGTCGCCGTGCCTGGCTTGCACTGCTGCACTGTCGTCGATGAGTGTTCGGAAGGCAAGACGCAGTCCTGCACGGGTCTTCTGAAGAGGCTGGACCATGAGGCCCGCCGTCTTGCATTCTCACAAGGACACTACGGAGTGTCTCAATGCAGATGTACCAGATCCATTTTGGAAGCGAGCTTCCGGAGGTGTTCATGGGCTACAAGATGAACATGTGTCCCCACGGCACTGGCCGTTTCGCATTTCCGGCCGTGCTGCGAGTACCGTGGTCAGCGTCAATCTACGTCGACAGAGCCCAGGAGCTACTACACAGACTCCACAATGCTCCAAACGATGATGGAGATTCCACTGGAGAAGAAGGTGCCAACAGCAGCCCAGAAAAAGCTTCTTTCTTCGACAGGACAAGAGCATAGCAGTGCCTCACCTATGTCTAAGAAGAGCAGTATCCCGGGAGGCGGGCAAGCTGTATGCTCCCCCGGGCAAGCTTCAGATGATCTACTTCATTGATGATTTGAACATGCGACAGCCTTACTCAGCGAGCTTCCGGGCATGCGAAGAGGATGAGCTCGCAGGTCGTCAGAGATGACTGTATGCTAAGGCCGGCATTGGACAAATACAACACCCAGTCGGCCATCGAGCTGATCAAGCAAAAGCAGGAGAGAGAACTAGATATGCCAAGATACTGCTGTTGCTGCTGCTGCTGCTGCGCTTAAAGACGGCACTGACCTTCGAGAGTGATGGGTAGGCAACGTATGTGCGCATGTTGGTTTCATTGTTTGGCCGCTACGTTCACCTTCGCAGGACTACAACCACTGGTACGATCGGGTAAAGATACAAGTCAAGGACATTGGTGGCACACAGTGCGCAACTGCTGAGATTCCTTTGTGGTATTCCCGGCTCGAATCACTAGGGAAAGCCTGAGACAGATAGAGATCACATCGTCAAACTAAGTGCATCATGCCTCTACATGCGAGTCCGAGACGCCGAAACCCACAGAGACTGGAGGCCAGATTTCCTGCCAGGTACCTTTGCTGCATGAACCCGACGGCGGGATCCTTCACTGTGAATCCGCGGCTGCAGCGGCACTTCTGGACCGGAGCAGCTTCACATCGCTTAGCTGATGAGGTCATATAGGCTTCATTCCACTGCAGACATCCGCCCCTCGTTTTCAGGACCAGCTCAGTACAATTCCCAGAGCAGCGGCGAGCCCAGGTTCGACTTGCCAGTGTCGGATAGGCTCAAGCTATGCCAAAAATTTGGCCAGCGGCTGTTTCTGTGTCTGTGTGTGTGTGTACGTGTTGCTTCGATGCAGTCCTCCCTTGCAAAGTGTACTTTCGGGTGTCGGCAGTGCATTGCTGGCTCTTCGCTGGATGGAACAAGGAATGCCTTGAACTTGATCTACTCGACCTTCATGAAAGGCCACTTCGACACTCTGTCATTCAAGGCTCGAGGGGCATCCAACAATGTCGTTGCTGACACCGGCGATGGGAAGTGTTCGCACATATTCGGCGATGGTGCAGCTGGATGCAGTCAACTTTACTTGGCTGCGCAGGTGCCAGTGCAAGAGATCTCCAACTGGGTCATCAAAGCAGCCCTCAGCTTCCACACCCAGGCTCTGCATGGTAGCCTTCACAGCCCACGGCTTAGTCACAGCTTTGGCATGCCTCTGTGATTTCAGGTAAGCGCCAACTTCAGAAAGACTGCGCAGAACATGCACTACGAGCTTGAACCTGAGTGCACAGCATGCAGCCCCAACCCCACATTCAGAGCTGCTGGCCGGCTTCAAGGTTCAATATCCGACACATGAGCGGCGTCTTTTCTGGGCTGCTCAAGGTTCCTACTTTGAAACTCATCGTGTGCACCGCCTGTCGAGCAGTTTTCGTGGCACTGGTGCTTTCCTGGCAGGCGAAGCCCAGCGAGTTCATGGATGCAGAGAAGCTTGTTCTCTTGTGGACGGCACCTCAGAAAGCTCCAAGCTCGCAGCACGAGAGACCGATGAAAAGACCAAAATCCCCAAACGGCCCCAAACCCTAAACCCTATAAACCCTAAACCCTAAACCCTTGGAGGATTCACGAAAGCGAACGAATCTACGGCGACCGCTTGGTGTCCATGGCCGACCTGAAAAAGCCGGAGCCTCAGACCGGTGCAGAATACTGCAACCATATGCAACCATGACAGAATCATGTACATGCTCTTATAGACTTATACTGTGTATGTATGTACGTACGTACCTATTTATATGTGTGCGTGTGTTTGTATATGTAGAGAGAGAGAGAGAGCTCGAAATAAAGGCTTAGAGTTGGCATACCACGGTGACATTGTCAGAACACAGACAGTAGGTCAAACATACTGCAGACGGTCTGATTAATACTGAGTAAGGTTTAAGCAAGAGGCCATCCAGCTCTTGTGCAAGGTTGCGACAGCTCACCGAAAAGATCGCCAAGCAGATGTTCTCCAAACACAATCTGCAAAAGTACTTCCAGGCATGTGTGCATCCTGCAAGATGTCTTTCAGCAGTGGCCCTTCGGGGTCCCACGTTGCCTGAGGAGAAGAACCCGGAGCCAATCATCTTTGCGCCCTTCTCCAGGGTCAGTCTTGCTGAGCTTGCGTCACGGGGTACTTGGCCTAGGCGAAGTATTCAGACTATGATCTATCTGTCGTCCACGTGACAGGGGCACCACAATATGGAAGACGGTGGCGTGTATGACAAGATCAAGGCCTTTGACCCTGCGTTTGCGCGCATTTCGATCAGTTCTTTTCAGAAAGTCTGAGACCAGGACATGGAGCGCCTGTCGCAGATTCTTCAGGAGGCTCGTTGCGTCTGGTTCGATTTCAAGCTTCAGCCTGTGGTTGAAGTGTACAGATTTCATGTCCTGTCCTTCTATGTCGTTCATTGTCATTCTTGAGATTGCAAAAAAAACAATAATTTGCGGCTCAGGCGGACTTCGAAGGGTAGCAGTTTCCTCGCACCGTCGGCAGGCAATGAGAGACTACGACAGCACCTTCCCTTCCATGGACTTGGTCTTGTTTGAGGCGAGGACGTGAACAAGGTACTGCTGAAGCTTGAGAAGGCAGCCCTGTGTTTCTGAGGACGCCATGAAGCACGTGGCCCGCATCAGCCGTATCATCTCCAGTGGCTTAGATGCAGAACTCCGGGGCACACAGATCGAGATACGGGCATCGCAAACTCCCTTCAATCACGCGAGGTCCCTCGGGCCATCCGTTGCTGGTGGGCGTCGGTGGCAGCGGACGACAGAGCCTGAGCAGGCCATGCTTTGGGAAAGCCTAAAAAGGCTCAAAGGGTCGGGGTCTTTAGCTGGTGAGCCTTATGTCAGCTTTCTTTTGGGGGCTTGGGGCACAGGATTTGGCACATCCAACCAAATCCATCCCATGTGTCACGCTTTGGCAGGCTGAGTGCGTTCATTTGTCAGGCTCTGACGTGGGGACCTCAGCTGACATGGGGCAGAGACATAGAGAGACATAGCCAGGGCTTTGTCACGAAGAGTTCAGTCCTGGCAGGCACATGATTATCATCACCAGCTCCTACGGTCTGAACGACCTGAAAACCGACCTTCAGTATATGTACAAAAGGTGTCCTGCAAGCACATCGGTGGTGGTGGAAGCCCATAACCATAAGTGCTCATTGCTGGCAGGGCGGGTGAAAAAGACGAGGGAGTCATGTTCCTTTTCACAGACAACCAGATTGCGGACGAGAGGTGGCAATCAGCAGTTTGACTGCGGACCTTCCCAGTCGATATACCCCATGGCAGGTTTTTTGTGTTCTTCAATGACTTGCTCTCATCCGGGGAGATCACAGACTTGTATCCCAGCGAGGACTACGAATAAACTATGTTTAGGTGGAATTGATCCCACGTCCATGGAACTTGTAGCAATTTGCGTGGCGCGTTCCCACGGCTTGATCCTTCTGCCTAGTCTTCGTGGTCTTAGTGCAGCGATTCTGTCAGGACAAGGATTCCATTCGCAACGCAGTCAGGAGATGGGTTCCGCTTCGCTTTGCATCTTTCGCTGTGCCCACTTCCCCCTGCTGGCGAACGACCCGAATCACCCCTTGTAGAGCACCAGGCAGCTCCGGTGCGGCTAAAAGCGCAATGCAGGCGGTCAGCATCTGCAGCGAAAGGGGCAGACTTCGATATCTTCGAGTTAAAGCATGAACAAGCTCGCCATGCGGATGCCGCTCATTGGAAGTCGCCCCGCATGGGCTAACGGCTACATCCTGCCTAATGCCTAATGCAAAGGGAGACTTGAAGTGGCGAATGGGGATTGAGGCATCTTGTGTTGCGTCACATCGTGAAGGGCATCATGAGTTGATTGTTGGGTTGTTGACCAGAGCTTCTTTAGAGAACACTCTCTGGGCAGTTGAGCGGGACCACCGCTGCCGCGCATGAATCTGGCAACTCACGAGACCTTGCGATTTGCTCGCGAGCTTGAGGAGCGCAGCAAAGGGTCTGGGCATCGTGGACACGCCGGATAATCTGCGACTTGGCCTGACGATCCCAAGTTTCTGCTCGGATGTCTAGCTGCCAGATCTTTCCAGCCCAGGTGGGCTTTCTACATCTCGAGAGCCTGGCACTTGGAGAGTTGTTAGGAAGGGAGCGGAAACCCAGAGGCACAGGGGGAGCATCACTGTCCCTGACCCGAATAAACCCAGTCTAAACCCGAAGCGCTATCCCCGAAACCGAAAGGAAAGCAAGCGACATCAGGAGCTGAGCAGTCTCGAGGCTTCCTCGCCACTCTGGGCGGAGCTGTTCTGTGGATCTGGCATCCAAACCTACCACTCATGCCTTATTCTTATTGTCTGATCATCGGTTGTTGTACAGGGGAAGGGGGCTTTTGACACCGAAATCCCCCCTAGGTGCATGAGCTCTTTGTCTGGTGCCATGAAGGATGCTTACAATAGTAGGTAATTGGAACACACATCTTACCGGCGCAGAAGATGCCAATAGGACAAGGATCTCCGCAGAACAGCTCCACCCGCTGTGGCTGGCATGCTCCGACAGTTGCCTGCCCCCTAACCTTTCTACTGAGTTGTTGAGGGGCCCGGAGGCTTCACTTGGACTTGCTACTTCCTCTGACTACTGTCACCCGCATGCCTGCAACTGTGACTGATTGGGTCCTTCCCCATTCTCCGCAGGTCCGCAAGAACCTGCACATGTCGCTGTGTCTGCCCGGCCTTTCCAGCTGTTGGCATTCAGTGGGTGGATGTGGGCCGCCTCGGGTAGCTGTTTCGGTGGTGTCGACCTGAAGGTGCTGCGGTGCTCTGGCGCTTTCCATCTGTCTAATCAGCGGGTTGCCAGGCTTCAGCCCAGTGGGCGACGGGCTTTGGAGCCGCGCGCGCAAGTTCCCAGCGCTCGTGAACTGCACGACCATCGACTGGAGTGCCTGGCGAATTGAGCAGGGTCTCGTTGCAACAAAGATAAGGTCAAGGAGAATTATGCACAAAGAAGTAACGCTGATACTAAAGAGTTGCACATATACATGTATTCACCAATAGACACTGAATGCATAGAGAAGTAACGACAGCTGCTGAAGAAAATACGAGCGATCACAAGATGATCTGCGCATCGAAGCATTTTACCAGCAGCAGCATCGCATTGCGCTGGTAGTTATAGGATTGAAGCAAGTATAAACGCGAAGGTATATCGCCTCGGCAGTGCTACAAGTTGCTGTGCTTTGCGATTCCAAGCAGACCTGGCAGGTTTCAACCTTGGCCGGAGGATGCTCTGTTGAACGTGGCGCAAAAGTTCCTGACGAAGCTGGATGAGCTCGGGGCGCAGGAGGGCATTTCCACTGCCAGTCGAAATGCCTTGCAAGATTCAGTTAAGTTGCCAGCGTGCTTGAAATGTTGGTCAGTCAGGATCTAATTTGCTCAGCATGTCTGCTCGGCAGGACAGCCCTGCAAGGCTGGCCATTGTTGACTTCTTCCCACACAGCTTCGAGGCTTTGTGCATGTGAAGAGAAACGATGGGTCTGTGGGTAAGTGAACAGCAGACTGCCTTTTCACAGGCTGTGAACCAGCTCTCGCAGAAGTTCATACAGGAGCCATGCATGGCAGAGACAGGCAGCCAGGTCGACGTCTGCATGCGACTGGCAGGGGCAAACCTGACCTACCCTTATCTAGACCATTGCAGGGATCTGAAGAGCAGCATGAAACCCTAGTGGCGGGGGGGCCCTTACAGCTGAATCAGGGCAACGGTTGCGCGCGCCCGGACCCTTCGGCTCATGAGATTATCAGCTCTGCAAGCAGATCAACAAAGGCGAATCATTCCTGAGCCATCTCAGCATCTACGCAGGAACGAAGCGCCACGTTGGTAGTCCAAGCTTCTACTGCACATGCCCTCACTCGACTGAGCCAAGAATGAGCCATCATTTTTTGGGAGTCACGATCGGCACTGGAGCCGAGAGCGTAGGTAGGTATTTAGGTAGGACTGTGCCCATGGCTCCCTCAAGAGGTGTGCGCCGCTCTTCACTGGGAGCATGTTGCGCACTGCTTGCGGGCAATCGTTCGCCATGGATGCCTTTGCTAGTGGCATGGCCTGGCCGTTCAGGACTTTCTCAGCCTGTTGTCTGTCTGTTGAAGACCTTGAGAAGTTGCTGAGAACTGCGGGTCCTCAAGAAGCCGAGGTGACATTTTTTCTCGGACCCTTGCTTCCAGGGTGCTGGGCAGCAGGACCGCGTTTTGCAGCTTGCATGCTCCACCGAGCCTACATCGCACGGAGGTTGACAGGTCAGTGGAAGGTCGAAGTATAGTTATAAGGGGTGACGTTCAGCTCTGGCACATCAGTGAGTTCCATGCTGAGGGAGTGTTGGGCACCTCTCTTCTTTCCTTCTTCAGCAGGACCAGCCGGAGGCGTGGAACTCTTCGAGATGATCGGTGCAACATTCAAGCTGGAGTTGAGTGGTCCGGACTTGAGTTTCAGGGATCGTGCGATTGTCAGAGATGCAGGCACAGGTTGCCCTGGACGATCAGACAGCGCAGACTCGGACAAGCGGAGACACTCGTTGTCTGTTGCATCTTATGTGTATCACCCACATGCAGAGCCTTCACCCCTGGTGCATGGGGGACCCATCATCGAATCCTCGAACCAGCTCGGATGGCTTAAGGCCAGCTGGTTCCCTGTACAAATGCGGATCCGTGGCTCCTTTCCAATTTGCTATTGCGCAGCTTCAGACGAAACGAATTATCTTGCAAGCCTGGGCATTTCCCTGCCACCAGCAGAGTCTCCCTGTGACCGGGACAATGCCTTGTATCACTATGCCGGAACCTCGGACCGTCTGCACCTGGCAAGAGAGAAGAAGTCAGAGTCTGTCCCTGGAGCTGTAGAGCTCTCGTAGAAGCCAAGCCACTCTGGGCCAGTCTGCAAGCTACTCTGGAACCACCCCCGCCCGGAATCGATCAGGTCGGAGTAATTTACGCGATGGGGATCAAGCACAGCGAGATTCCCATTGCTGCATGCTTGGTGGTGGGTGCCAATCAAATTCAACAGGACCCGGTTACGGTTGTCATGTAGGTGCCCATGTGTGACGGTGAATACGAAGCCTGCACGGCATGAGCCTCACCGCTGACATCCCAGCATACTCTCAAGACATCTAAAGACCCACAAGCTGTTCAACAGGGTTCCAATGCAAAAGGGTTCTGCCAGAGCAGCATGAACCAATCGCGAGCCAAAAGCCTAAACCCAGAAGCCTTAAATCATCAAGCCTAATCTCTTCAGACTCTGGCAGGACTGCCGTATCACAGTCCGGTCAGAACGCGGAGGGCTGTCGGCACAGGAGCTTTGCCTTAGGTTTCCCAAATGAAGATTATTCGAGGAAGGCGGTTACCTCCGGCAGTGCTCTCCTCTGCCACCGACCGGCCGAGAACATGTCGTGAACGTGCGAACTTGATTACGAGAAAGTGCACGATCAGTGCTTTCTTTCCCCCGGTTCGTGCAACAGGTTACTGCCGTGTGGCACGATTGCCCAACAGCTTCTGTACTCCTTAGATGCCCAGTCCCCAACTCCAACGATCCTAAATCCAACCCCCGCAAACCCAAACTCAACACCCAACCGCTATCCTTGGACCCTGTTGTGAGGACATGGCAGAGCTTACAGACGGCAATCCTGCGGTGCCCTGTGGTGAGGCGACCACTAGCACTATGCTCCAACCCAGGCCGGACATTGCGGCTTTGATAAACGGTTGAGGGCTTGGGGCTTCGGGCGCTCGTGGGCCTCGTGCCGCTGAGAAGGTTCCGAAGCCTGAGAACCCAGCCGACAGGGTGCGCCTAGTCTTCTGGGCTTTGCGTGTCGTGGTGCGCCTTCTGCCGGAAGAACCCCGGACCCTTAGATCCGTTCTTTCAGCTGTGGACAGTGGTCAGCTTATGTAGGCAAATGATGGAGCGCACGTTCACTAGGCCACTAGGCATGCTTATAAGCACGTAAGTGGACACATGCACGAAGCATCCGAAGCACCCGAAGCACCCGAAGCAGATGCGACAGGATCGGGGATGCCTCTGCGTGGACATTCCAGGCGGGCGGTTTCTCCAGTTTGCAAAGTTTTTATCGGCTTGGGAGCGACCCGTGGGAGGTGCCACAAGGGACTACCACCGTCGGCTTCACTACCGCCAGCACCGACTCTGGAGCACAACGGCTACTGAAGGTGGGCCGATTCTCGAACCTTGTGCAATCTAGGATTTGGGCTACGGCACGACCGAAGCTGTGGTTAGGTCATGATGTCAATCTTCAGGCGTTTAGGGAGCTGATTGGAGGTGTGCTACTGTGAGAGCTACGCCAGCGCTTCTTCGGATGGTGCCTGCGGAGCAGCGGACTGGCAGCACGCAGGCGAGCGGGGCCGCCGTCTCAAACTGGGTTGCTGTTGAGGACCTTACTAATCTCAGTTGCGATAAATGGGATATATGGTAACGAGTATGGTTAGCTTATAACAACTTGATTTTTCAGTTCCTTAACAGCAACAGTCAAGCCCAGCCCTTGCTATACCTGGATTCTCCAGGAACTCTCTCCCTGGTCGGCTTTGCTGGGGATGCGGCCCGAACCCAACTCCTGTTTGGAGGGACACCGGCACGAAGCCCTGTCTCTAACCGAGGTACCTGAGGTGCACTGCTACCGGGGGCAGCTATGCCGCTTGAGCCGTGCAGAAGCATTTGGCTTGGGACTCGGCTGCCGTTCCCCCCTTCTGAGCCAACAGAGCTGGCTTCATGACAGGGATGGGTACCGGAGATTCCGTGGTGGCAGTCGCTGGCAATTCAAGTTGCGCGAACTTGGACGGCAAGGCAGGTCAAACCGAGAACAGATACGAGCATGGATGAGCGCTCACAGAAATGGGGTGCCCAAGCTTTGGTTCAGGTCTTTAGCTCCACATCCTTGGTGACATTGCTCGGAGACACCACCGCCAGAGTGGCTGCCAACGCCCCAGAGCTCCGGAGACTGCAAGCTTCCGGCTCCACGTGCCTGTCCAGGTTGACATTCAAGACTATGCCGCGGACTGAGTTGGAGTGGACTGCCTTGGTGGGACTGTGGAAGCAAGCCGAGGAGAATGACATGGCCACCATTTGCTACTGTTCAGCGGCAGCCCGGGGCCTCAGAAGACACGAAGTGCTCACTCCACGACTGCCCAAGTGACTTCAGGTTCATGGAATTTTCGCCTGCACTTTCCTCAGACCTCGCATGAAACCTGTTGTTTGCAGTGACCGTTTCCTGGTGCAGAGGTCAGAACGGTCAGGGCAGATTCTTCAACATGCTGATGGGCTACGTGCGCTCGAGCGGCTTGGGAGGAGGCCAGGGCCAAACCTCCTATCTCTCTATTATTGTTATCATCATTTATATTAATTCTATCATCATTATTATTATGTCTATCCTTACTGTCACTATTGCTACTAGTAGTTATTGTGTTAATTAGTATTATTGTTTGAATTAATACTGTTTGAATTAGTACTTATTATGAATATTCTCGTCTGCTTTGAGCTCAGGTCTCCGCTTCGATTGCGTCCCGTCCTCGTCGCAGTGCCCCAGTGAGCCCGTGCTGCTGCATGGCGAGGAGGGTGTAGGGCTTTAGGGATCTTTAGGGGTTTATTTAGGATTTCAGGGTTTTAGGGGTTTAGGGCTTTAGGGTTTTGGGGTTTAGGGGCGGTCGCAGGGTGCGTGGTTCAACTTTTCTTGCTCAAGCTTCTTCAGGACGCCGAGGTCGCCAAGAGGGGCAATCTCTTCCTCGCAGAGATGAAGTACAGACCGTGTGATGACCTGTTCGCCAGCATCTTACCAGATATCTTGCCAACAAATCGGCCGCTTAGAAACTTGCAGCCATTCCCACAACTCATCTCAGCTCAGCGGGACCCAGGCATCGTCAGTTCAGCAAGCATCGCCCAAGCCTGAGAGGGAAGGACCAGTGTGAACGGTTACCTTGATCCATGCTAATTTTAACAGGGGTTTTGGGGGTTCCTTATTATTATTATGGCATAATATACCCCCAAACCCTGTCTTGCAGCTTGCAGGCTGGTGACGGTCGGACAGTCAGCTCGAGCCTTTCACGAGAGAGGGAGTGGAAACGCACGCTGCCTCTCCATGCTTTCACAGGTCAGAGTGGAAATGCCTTGGCCACTACAGTCTGGCCGGGGACTAAACCCTAAACCCTAAACCCCTAAACCCCAAAACCCTAAACCGAGCTGCATTTAAAATGCCTTAACAGGTCCCCTGCCTTGCCGTACTTGGAGGACCATGGGACTGAGTAAAGGAGGTTATAAGTCCCCTAATTGGGGTTATAAGTATATAGTTACCTTAGTTATAACCCTACTTACTAAGTCCCATGATCCTTTAAGTATCTGAAAGGGGTATGTCTTGGATATAGTGCTCAACCTGACGACGGCTATGTCGACCACAAGGCTGCTCGGGCCGTCGCTAT